AACTCCTACATATATATATTCTCTACCGAACCAGCTTCTTCCACAGGAAATGCCTCGTTGAGCCCTGAGGGGGGCAGAAGCCAGGCTCCACCAGCACCCCGCCCAGAGGAGTGCACACTGGGCTAGGAGGGGCCCTGTGGAAAGAGGCCAAGCTGTCTGGAGCTTGCCAGGATTCTTCTGAGAGCCCAGGGCCCTCACAGGGCAGGTCCACACACAGAGCTGGGCCGAAGCAGGGTCAGCTTGTCAGCAAACACCAGGGACAGATGACAGGAAGGAGTCGGGTTCAACCAGAAGCAAAGGTGGCCCCCCAAAACAGTTGGGGAGACAGGGAGGTCAGCCTCACAGGTAGGACACAGCTAGTTCCCCAACCTATGGATTTCTCATAAGAGTCCAGCTTCCACAGATTCTCCTGACCCTATTTTCCCCCCACAATAACTCCCCATCCAAGGGTGGGTTCTCAGTCTCGTCCCCACCACCCAGAGATTGGGGGGGAGGTAAAAAAATCCCATCCACCCATACCCCACCTGGCTTCCCAGCTCCACCCCGCTTCTAAGGACATTGTGAACACACTGAAAGAGGGAGAATCCTAGGCTCAGAGTCCCAACCCCAGCAGATGTCTCTTCTCCCTTCATCCCAGGCAGGCCCTATGCCAAGAGGAGTGACGAGGGGTGTACCACCACCACGAGGGTCAAGGCCCCGACCTCAGCCTACATGCCATCAGGGCTTGCGCTTTGGCACTGGCAGATTTAACACATGCAGTCTTGCCTGTCCTCAAACACACTATGTAGCCAGTGCTGCAGCTCCATGTAGAAAGCTCACAGCAGCCCATCGCAGCCCAATGCTGCCAGTAAGACTCAGGCCCTAGGAAGAGGGCTGGGGTACTTTGAGCTACTTCTCCCCGCAGCCCCCTTTATGACAGAGCCACAGTGGTCTGAGGGAAGACAGCCCCATCACCACTAAGGAGCTCAGCTTAGCTCTAGGCGCCTCAGTCCCAGCCTGGGCCCACGCTCACCCTTGCAGCAACCTGACTGGCAGTCAGACTGCAGGAACAGGAGCAGCAGGGGAGTCGACTGGGAGCGCCACGCTAGGCTCAGCAACCTCCCTCTCCCCACGGGCTCCCCAGAGGCACACACGGACCTGTTGGTATGGAATCGGCAAAGGGCTCTCCCTGGAGGAAGGGACTCCAGGCACCAGGATGGCAGGTTCCCAGAGCCGGTGGTACCTCTGAGAGCAATCCGTCCATCCGCCTACCCAGCAACACGCCCCTCCTTCGTGCCTTCTTCTCCCTTGCCCCACACCAAGTACACATTCTGAAGGGTCTCACTTCAAAATGTCCCCTCCCTGCGACTCCACCTGGCCCAGGTCAGAGACACATTCCCTTTGCGTGGTTATATTTGCAGGTTGTGCTCTGAGAACAGAAGCACCCCTGTGTCCTAGAACCCACCATGCCAGCCTGGCACAGGCTCCCCACTCCCAAGCAGTGGGGGCAGTGACATAGTGTGATTTGTCTTCTTTTACAGCCAAATATTGGGGAAGGAAACAGAAGTCCAAATATCTGTGCCCCTTCAACCCGAGGGAATAAACTACAAGGTCTGCAAGAACCTTGGAACAAGTGGTTGAACCTGCCACCGAATGCAGGAATCGCCTGTTCACTCCGACAGACCCCCTCCCCCTTCTTAAACACCACGCCACAGGGCCATCTCTGCAGCCGGAGGCCAGGCGTCACTACTAAACAGCTCTTCCTTGGGCTGAGATGAGGTGAGTATCCTTGTTATTTCCATGTGTTGGTCTCAGAGATGGCAAGTGGATCTGCACGGGCTCTCTGCCAGGCAGTTCCCCAAAAGGCCAAAGCCAGCCTTTGAGGCATGCCCGCCCCCAGCAACATCTGCAGCCATCCCTCCTGAGGCATGACCTCCTGAGATGTGCCTAATGTCCAGGAAACGTATCCAGGAGATGGACACATCCTCTGCCATCATCTGGGCGTGATGAAGTGACAGAGAGGGGCCTTGTAAGTTATAAGCAGGGAGACCATATAACTTATCTTCCAAACCAGAACACTGTTAATATGGTAACTATACGAAGAAAACAGGCACAACAGGAAGCAAGGCCACACGACGTCACAAGGCACACATTATAGTTATTCATTTACACCACCAAGAATGCAGCCCGAGACTCGGAGCTCCTTCAGCTGCCACGGCACATTCCGGGCTCACTAAGACCTTGTTCACCACACCTGGTGGGGGGCTGGGGCGATGCAGAGGTGGCTAAAGGCCACCATAATAATATACCTGCCTCTACGTTGCACCACACTTATCCTCAGTTTAAAACATTTTTGTATTCAACATTTGACCTTCTGTACACAAAGTTCCATGGACGGTGACGGGGAGGGGCAGGGGAGTGCAAGGATGACCCGGGATAGACACAAAGACAATGCACTTTGGCACTGGCGGGTTTAACATGCATGGTCTTGCCTGTCCTCAAACACACTACATAGCCATGCTGCAGCTCAGTGTGGAAGGCTCACCGCAGGGAAGGGGAGCAGAATAAGTCCAGAGGCCCAGACAGGGCTTAGTCTCAACTATCCCCTCCTTGCTCCACCACACACTGGTCAGGGCCGAGTGTAACCGCCTGGGGACCCAGCAGATGAGTGCCATGTCAGAGAGCAGGAGCACCATCTTCTCGGCCCTTCACACCCTCATCCCTTCCTTCCAGCCACTGCACTGTGCGACAGCAGCGGCCTTTTTCTGGATACTGCGCTCTGCCTCAGGCCTCTCTGTGGGGCATCAGTGCCACATGGGAGCACTAGAGGGCGCCGCTGCCCTTGCTAGTGAGGCACATCCAGCAAGCTGCGGAGGGAGCCCCAGGGCAGAGGCCCCCCACATCTCTGGACCTGTGATGGACAGGCTCCCCAGGCCCCAGCTGGAGATCCTGCAGCTACATTCAGTCCTTCTAGTTCTGGGTCTAACCTACAGCTTCCTGCCTGAGCTAGCCTGCCTCTCACTCTCTCCTCAAAAGGCCTAAGCAAGCCCTCCAGGTAAGCACCAACAGTCCTTTCTTCCAGGCCAGCCTTCCCCTCCCTGCAAGGCACACCAGGCCAGGGTGCTGCTGGCAGAGCTCAGAGCCTAGGTTTCACATCCCTCCAGGCCAGGCCACTTCACCCAAGCACAGCCCCTCCTGCCCTACCTGAAGGCACAGTCACAGAGCCTGCCCTGCAACCACCACCCGCAAATGAGCCCAGGGAGGACAGGGATGCCTGAGTGCTCGCCAACCTGCTGAGGACAAGGCTCAGAATTCAAGTGGAAGCAGGACAGAAACCTCAGCTTCCTTATGGCCCAAATTCTCTGGACCCCGAGAGGCCATTAGGAAACATGGAGAAGCAGGAGAAGAAAGCTGGGGACTCTAAGTACCCCAAGGCAGTGATAGACCACAGCACCCACAGTCGGCAAGAGTCCAAGCCCAAAGCCTGGGCACACACCCACAAATGGCCTCACAGAGAGATGTCCCCAGCATCCGCCCTGCCCTGAAAAAGGCCCAGAGAAACCCTACAGACAACCACACTGAGCCCGGTCTGTGAGCCTTCCGACCCAGGCCCCAGCTCCTCCCAGCAAGTGCCCTGCCCAGGTCTCCTGCTGCCACCCTCCATCCCGCCACCTCCAAACACCTCTGGCCATCATGGGGCCACCAGACCCATCCCTTCTCCCCAGTCTTCCCCGAGGCCGCATATGGCCAGCAGCGTCCCTGGGCTCCAATAAGTGGTGGCTGGGCAGCAGGGACAGCAGCGGCTGCACCAAGCAGGGGAAACTGATGCACCCCACATACCCCTTGTCTATGAGGCTGTAACAAGGGCTGCCAGCTGGCCAGGACCCAAACCCAGAAAGGCCTGCACTTCTCTCCCCTCTCCTCTCAGCAGACTCAGAATGTCGCAGGGAAGGTGAAAAACTAGACTACAGAACTCCTCTCCCCTCTGCTAGGGAGCACGCTTAGGCTCCTCCCTCTGCTCTATCTCTTGGCCTTTCCCCACCCGTGCCTGGCCTCTCCTCCCACTCCTGTCCACACAGCCCTCAAGAGAGGAGGACAGGCTTGCTCACAGCACAGAATCAGCACCCTCTCCATGCTGGCTGGGGATGCCACAGATGCCACCCGACCAAGGAAGGGGAGACACACGCTTCTGTGACCTGTGCCTGGGGCCCCTTCCTGGGCCCTGCCACATCGTGCTGCAGCCTCCCCTGGCTTAGAGTCAGAAGGAAGCAAAGGGGCCAGGCTGGGGGTCAGGGGCTCTGCCCAGGGCCTGAGCTGGGGACTCAGCACATTCAAAACAGAGCAGCCGCCATCTGCACTGCGACAGTGCCACTCCCCCAGACCAAGAGACGCCAGAGAGGGCCAGAGCACCCAGGGTCTCCAAAGACAGAGGGCAGGTTACAGATTTCAGGGGAGCTGTCTATAGCTTCTTGCCAGCTGGGAAGCAATTGGGGGTCAGTGTATGAGGGGAGGGGCAGAGGCATCAATTATTTGACTCTCCCTCTCAGAGGAAAGAGATCACAGAGCCAGCTGGGGGAAATCTCTAGCTTCAGAGATGGTGGGGGAAGTTTGAGGGTACAGCCCCCAGCCCCCATCTCTCTACCTGCCAAGGCTTCCTTACCTTGAGACCAGAGGGCAGGAGGTAGAAGTCAAGAAGCAAAGAATTCACACAAATGGCCTCTCCCAGCTCCCCTCCCTTAGGGTGGGCCTGCCAACTCATGCAGCAAAGCCCGGGACTGCGGAGCTGACGCCTCAATCCATGGGACCCTCAGAGCAGTGCCCTTGCAACTCACCTGTGTCTGTGTGCACAGAACGAGCCTTGGCTTAGGGAGACGGGGTACCCCCATTCAACCATGCAAAGCCAGAGCCCCCACAGCCTGCCCAAGGGCCACATCTGTTCCATCCTCCCTGCCCCAGGGTCCAGGCTGCAAACACCCCAGCACCTTCCCCAAGGAGCAAAGCTGGTCTTGCCAAGGACATACCTGGGTTTCTGAGTTGGCTCCTTGGATTCTCTCAAGCCAAACCAGCTACTCTTGGCCTTTTCCTCCCCGCTGGATGAGTGGTGGGGGGAGGCCCCCAGGGTGGGTGCCCCCTTCTCTCCCAGAGAGCTTCGGCGCCCCAGTTCACTCCGACTCAGCCCCTGGGTGTGATGGTGGAAGAGGCCCATCCGGGGCTTCCGCTCCTCCTTCCGGGCTCCCTCCTTCTCTGCCACTGCCTCAGAGGAGGCCACCATGGGTGTGGCGACCTGGACTGGCTTGCCCTCCAGAAGCTGGGCCCCCTCCGCCTCTCCAGGGCGCCTGGCCCCAACGGCCAGCACTTTGCCCTGAGCGCCCAGCTCCTCCTGTCCACGCCCCACCTCTGAGCTGCTGTTGCTGTGGCTGCCTCGGCCCCAGGAGTCATCTGTGGAGCGAGGCCCCTCCTCAGAGGGCCGGGAAGAGCCGCTGTGCAGGGAGCTAGAGGGTGGAAATGGACCCGAGATGGAGCTGCGGTGCCGCACCAGGCCCTGGGGCTCCTCGTTGTAAATGTGGCTCCCGTTGACACAGAGTGAAGAGCGGGAGGCAGCATCGAGGTGGCCCTGGAGGTCGAGGAGGGCCCGGGGAGGAGCCGCTCGCACCTGGCTGGCCTCGTCGCTGTAGGTCCTCTTGTGGGTGAGCAACTTGGGGGACTGTGCAGAGTCCCTGCCTGAAGAGGAAGCATAGTGGATTTAGCAGCAGGAAGAGTCACCTCATCCCCTGGCCCCAGCCCTGCCCTCCCCTCCCCCGGCAGTGCAGCCCCTGGTCCGCTCACCCCCTTCGGTGGACAGCCAGCTGCTGCGGCTTGGCGAGCGCGTGAGGAGCTCAGCGCCGGGCCCCTGATAGGCCAGGCTCCCGCTGGCCGAGGACAGGGTGCTGTCGGAGCCCAGTGAGGTGTTGGACTGCGTCAGGGACGACTTTCGTAGCTTGTTTCGGAGGAAGAAGCCTTTGGCTTTGCCCATCTTGCCCAGGCTGCCCAGCTCGGGATCCTCTAGGGCGCTGCTTGGGAGGATGGCAGAGGCGGATTCCAGCTCAAACTTCTTCTTGCCTTTCATCTTGTCCTTGATCTTGCTGAAGGGCGACCGTGGCTTGTCCTTCATGGACAGGTCGAACATGCTGGCACTCAAGTTGTTGCGAGTGAACTGGATGGTGACTTGGATCTCTCCGCGCTCCTTCTCCTTCCTGCCTGCCTTGGAGTGCAGCTTGTACCACCTGTGAGAGAGGGGAGAGGCAGGGCTCGCTCATGGGCTCCTGCTCTGACACACTGGCCTGGGCTTCCAGGCCCAGACCTAGCCGAGAAACTATCCAAAACGTTTCCCTGCGGAGAAAACCACATCCTGAGTGGAGGAAGGTCCTTGAGTGCCACTGGGCAGGGCAGCAGCGACCACCCCCTGCCCCCCTCCCACTCCATACCTTCCCCTGGAGCCCAGAGACTTGCCCTTTGCCTATCCCCCCTACATCTGAAACTCTAAGGCCTAGAGGGGTGAGGCTGGGCCTGGGAGGGACCCCCACACCTCCAGGCCCCTGGGACAGACAGACCTACCCATATTTTCCCTGTTTACATCATCTCCTCTGGCCAGTCCAGCCGAAGCTCTACTCTGAGCCACCAGGAAGGCCAGAAAAGAACAGCTCACCCACAGGCCCAGGGCCAGGAACACCAGTGCACACACACACCCCCACTGACTCACCCCAAGCCGTGCCAGGAATACCTCTGCAAGATGGAGGAACAGACAAAAAAAGCAGAAAGAGACCTTAAAGCAAGAGACCCGGGAAGGGAAAGAACATTTGCATCTGTTGAGCATCGACTGTGTGTTATGACCAGTGCTCCCATTTACACCTCACAGGAAACTTGTGAGGCCAGAGATACTACCCCCATTTTACAGATTGGGGGTTGAGGCTCAGAGGTAAAGTAACTCATTTAAGAACAAGCCGTCGGTAAACAAGAGGGGAGACCCAGAGCCAGGTTTTCATCATTGCGAAGTTCATGTTGTTCCCACTGCACACTTCCCAGAGAGACACAAAGAAAGACCCGCAACACACATGACCACTGCAGTGGCAGGGGGTGGGGCACCCTACTGGGGAGAGATGTACTTGTGCATGAGTTGGCAATTTCTTAGAAAACTAAACAAACTCTTACCATACAAGGAACAATTGTACTTCTTGGTATTTATCCTATTGAGATGAAAACTCACATTCAAAGAAAAACATACACACAAAGGTTTACAGCAGCTCTATTCATAACTGCCAAAACTTGGAAGCTGCCAAGAAGTCCTTCAGGAGATGAATGGATAATCAAACTATGGCATATCCAGAAAACAGAATACTATGCAATGATAAAAAGAAATGAGCTATCAAGCAAAGAAAAAAGAGAAAAGGATCTGAATGCATAAGTGAAAGAAGGCAATCTAAAAAGGCTACATACTTGGTATGACCCCACTGTATGACATTCTGGAAAAGGCAAAACTATGGAGAATGAAAAAGAGCAGTGGTTGCCGGGGGATTGAAGGGAGGAGAGAGAGATGAACAGGTAGAACCCAGGGGATTTTTTCAGGGCAGTGAAACTATCCTGTAAGTGCCTGTGACAGTGGATACATGTCATTATACATTTGTCAGAACCCACAGGCTGTACAACACAAAGAGGAAGCCTAATGGCAACTACAGACTCTAGTTAATAATAATGTTTGATATTGGCTCCCAATTGTAACAAACATATCACACTGATGCAAGATGTTGACAACAGGAAACCCGAGAGTGGGGTGAGAGGGTACACGGGAACTCTCTGTACTTTTCATTCATTTTTCTATAAACTTAAATTTCTCTAAGAAATAAACTCCACTAATTAAAAAAAAAGAAAAGAAAAAAAGCAGAGAACACAAAAAGAAGAAACTATGAAAGAAATAACACAAGAAATTTTTCCCGAAATGAAGGACATAAGTGCTGGCACGAAAGGCCGACAAGTACGCTGTACAGTGAATACAGACAGGCCCACGCCAGCAGGGGTCGCTGTGAGGTCCAGCACACCTGGCATACAAGGAGACCCTAACGGCTTCCACAGAGGGGAGACAGGTTGATGCACTCACAGCGGATACCATATGGAGAAATGCCTTCAAATTTCTGAAGGAAAAGCCTTCCACCAGCCTAGAATTCCAGACCCAGCCAATCAAGCACGATCAGTGGTCAGATTGGTCACCAAAGGGCTCAAAGTCCCTTGACGCATACACACCATGCCATACACAGATACCTCATACACACAGACACACGCACTCCACCCACATGTGCCTCAGCCAGCAGTACGGTGGTCATCCCCTACCCGAGATGCTCCTACCCCACAGCGCCAGCTCCCTGAGCCTCTGGTGGGCACAGTGGGGTTGGGAGTGGGGAAGCCCTTGTATGAAAAGTCCCTATACATCCAAATATCCAGAATTAAGTCACAGCAAGGGCTTAGTGGTGGTGGTTGTGGTTTTTTATTTTTTAATGTTTAAGTTTAAAAAGGGGGGCTTTCCCAGGGGCCCCTCCAATTGCACCCCTTTAGGAGAGTCCATCATGTGCTCATCATGGGCTATTGCCTGTCCCCTCCACGGAGACCCACTCGACAGCCTGAGCAGAATGAGCTATTGGTTGGGCTGTTGGTTTTCCCTCCCAAACCTGAGAGATCGACCTCTAGGAATGTCGCATCAGGGCAGACGGTGGCACAAGCAGGAGGGCAGAGGGCCATGCTCAGAGGGTGTGTGTGCCTCTCTCCTAAGACAGGGTCGGGGAGGGGAGGGAAGGGAGAGGAGAGCTGAGTGAGAGAGGCAGGCTGAAGGGATGTGTGTAAGCCTGGCTATGGGGCAGGAGGGAAGTCTGGCAGAAAGACCAGCCAGCCCAACATCCTCACATCCTTACCTTCTCAGCTCAATGCCTCCCTGGGCCTGACCCTTTAACAGCCAGGCCCTAGTCACTTTCCCTAAACCTGGAATAGGTCCCATTTGGCACAGGAAGATCCTGAGAGGTAGAGCAAAAGAGAAGTGTGTGGACTCCAGCCCCAAACAACCAAGCCCTAGCTGAGTAACCAGAACCCGCAAGCACAGACATCCCTTGCTGGGGCAGAAAGGCCAGGGACCCTTGGTCCAACAGGACATATTCCCCACCCCACAGCGGTAACAGGGCTTATCTCTGGGGTGTGAGGCTGCGGGAACTATCACATCCTACTTGGTCTATTTTTGTCCTATTTGAATTTTTTATAAGGAGCATATATTACTGTCATAGTAGGAAAAAGAAACAAAAGAAAACACTCGCTCCTACCTTACCTCCTCAGCTTCTTGAGTCACAGAATAGCCGCTCTCCTCTCCCTCCCACCCCGCAGATGAAGGGAGCAGGCATCACTAGCCGAGGTGGGGGCCCCAGTCTCTGCCCAAGGATCTTTTGTTCCCCCGTCCCCTGTAATGTCACATTCCCTTCCCCTCTTCCCCAAGGAATTTGGGTTTCTCTTTGGACCTACTTTTCAAGGAGGCCAGGAAGGAAAAGAGAAGGCTTCTCTCAATATTCTTGAGACTCTCCCATCCAGAGTAGAGTGAGGCTGAGAACGGCTGCGATCTGCCTCAGGACCCCCAGCTGCCACCAACCATCCATCTCCCTACCAGATCTCCCCACCGCCCTCTGCCTCCACCCTTCACCCCGGGTCCAATTTGTCCCACCTCCCTCTGCCCTGGGGTCCAACTCACATCACCTCCTTCTGCCCCCTAGTCCAGGGCAGGACTGAACAGAGCACTGCCAAGAACTCCGGGTGCCCTGAGGACTCGACCAGAGCAGGCCTTCTCCCCCAAGTGTAACCCACCAGGCTGGGATGGCAAGGCCACATGCCACATCCCTTCCCCGCTTCCCAAAGCTCCTGCTTCCTCCTGCCTGGACCAGACAGCCCCCAAACAGTCCCCCAGACCTGCCAGGCACTACAGCCCACAGCGGCTAGGAAGCTATGAACATCACTGACGTGGGCTGATGAGCCCTCAACGAAAACAGATGGAGACTTTCTCTTACACAGCCCCATATGCAGCAGAGCAAGCATGCTCTGGGCACCTCGTCCCTACAGACTGAGGCTCCCACAGGGAAATGTGACTGCAGGGTCCTGTGACCCTATGCTTCCTCTAGGAAGCTCTCTCAGCTGCCACCCTCCTGGCCTGGTCCATTCCCTCCTCCTTCCGACCGGGCATATGTACTCTGAACTAAACTCACCCTGCAACCAGATCTGGCAGCACTTTGCTGCTCCAGGTCCACCTAGTGTTGTCATTTCCTGGGCACCTGGGGTCTCCCCAGCTGGACTGTGTTTCCTGAGGATGTTTACTGGTGACCCCCTGGGTACACAGCTCCCAAGGAAAGAAATCATGCATGTCATGACATCTGGAGCTGTTGCAACCCCTCCTGTGTGCTCACCTGGATGCATGTGGCAGCCGGGCATAGTGGTTAAGTGCTGAGCTCCCCTGCTGACCAGGTTACCTCCCCCAGCTTCTGTTCCCTTGGCTGTCAGGTGGGGATAACCACCCTCTCAGGGCTGCTGAGAGGATAAGGCACACCCACAAGCCCGGTCAGCAAGCAGCCACCGTGTCCCCTTTAGTCCTGTCATTCCCTCCCACAACCAGGAGCTCCCAGGACTCTTGCTCTTGAATCCCTAACGCTGAGCACTGCCTGGCCTTCAAGGGAGCATGAGGCTCCTTTAACAAATATCCAAACTCAGCTCCCCAGGACTGGCTGTGGGGGACACAAGTCCTGGCCTCCACTTTTGGAGTTTCTGCTCCTCCCCCCTCACCCAGGCCTTCTCTTCCTCTCACTGCCCTTTGCCCGGCCTGCCCAGTGGGCTGTTGCAGCCCTAGGAACGCTGAGGCCCAAGCTGAGTCCTGACCCCTTCACTCCCATCCAAAATCAGGATTTGACCAAGGCCCCAACATGCATCTCCACAGTGGCTCACAAGACAGCTCTCATCTTCAGGACACTACAGCCACGGCACCCAAACCTGCCATGAATCAGTGTGGGTACTTTGTACATATATACTGATGCCAAGACACAACCCAAACTTACTGAACTACAAGGTCCAGGCATGGGAATCTATTTTTTAAGTGGGGTGGGGGGGCTCTGCAGGTGGCTCAATTCACCCAATCCCCAAACCCCTGTGGGGACTACAGTGGGCTGGTCTCTGCCTGCTCTAGAGCACTTCTGAGTCAGAGGCCAATTTTCCCTCC